AAAAGATGAAACTGCAATYTAAACCTAAAACAACCAAAACATGAAATCTAAAACTAATCAAATTTGAGCCTAAAGCCAAAAATGGCAAAACACCAGCTAAAGTATCACATCACTAGCTTGAAGATAAAAAAAAGAAAAAAAAAAGCTAATTAAAAGCTAAAATCAACAAAACATTAACTAAAAGAAGCAAAACACATTAAAACTAAAAAGTAGCAAATAGCTAGCAAAACAGTAAATGCTAAAATAGCAAAGCGCCAACTATTAGATAAAAGGAACAAACGAGGCCTATAGGAGCAAAAAACTGGCTTAAATGACTTTAACGCAATTAAATGAAGAAATTGTTAAAAGTTAGCATGTTACAAAAACTAAGGCACAGAATCCATATCCTGACAAGTTGAATGTTTTGATATGTAAATAAATAAGATAGCACTAAAAATGACAGAAGTCCTTAGATTGTAAAAACTAATTAAAACACAAGTGCTGACAAAAAAACTTTTAAGTAAATTACAACTAAAATAAATAGTAAAATAAAACAAAACAATGACTTTTTATTGACTGCAAAACACAAGGTGAAYTTCGAGTGTGTTTAAAGCAGATAGTGTTTCAGGCATGTTGGAAATGGTTAATATTTATGAGCAGACTGTTTTAACATTGGCATGACAAATCATGTCAGCCAAGACTAAAACAACAAAGGGGAAGAAAGTGTGAAAGGAATACTTTATGTGCCCAAAACACTAAGAATTCTGTCTGAGGAGGCAAAAGATAAAATATTTCTTTCAAATGTAAAACAAAATACACATTACAGTAACTTTGTTCAAACTTTGAAATCTTAAAGAAAAACAAAACAAAAAAACTCTCTATCTTCTCACTTTATGTTGTCTGTGATGGAAAAGTGTAACAATAAAAAGTGTATTGCAGCTTGTTGCGTTTGGGGTTTTGCGGGCAGATTTTCCATGCTGACACTTGTTCATCACTGAAAACATCTYCAATGAGCCCACAGCCATCAGACCTGGACCACGGAGTAACAGATGAAGGGCACCTGGTGAGATCAATCATCTTTTTTTTTATATAACATCATCCAGACGGCCGTGCGCTTCATTCATCTGGGAGACGGTCACAGTATGAACTACCGGACGAATACAAGGCAAGGCAGACTGATGCTCATAACTTTCTGCTGGGAAACCTTGGACCCTGAATGCATTTTTTTATTTTATTTTATTTTTTGACGTGCATAAATATCACCTGCCTGAGGCAGGATTATTTCCTGACTGTAGTGTCCTCTTTCTGAAATTTGCACACTGTCACAGTGCCAAAATAAGATTTAGGAATTGAACTTGAATAGGAAGTCAAGGTTTTCACTTGGCCCCCTAAAAAGAAAAAGAAAAAGAAAAAGAAAAAAGAAAAACACATAAAACCACTGATCCTAAACAATTAAATGGTCTCCTGCCAACATCTTGATGCTTGAAAGAACATACTGTAAGTTCATGCCTCATGAGAACTGTTTTGTTGGGGAGAAATAGGTCCCTCAGGTCCCCCTTGAAAGTCAGATCTCGATCTCAGTGGGGTTTAAAATCTGATTAAATAAAGGAAAATGAATAAAAATAGATCTCTATGGGTTTACGCTGTTGGTTTTAAAGGAGAAGTTAGACATTTTACAGGGGTGTTCAGTGGAAATGTTATGAATAACCTGTTATAGCTTTTTGAATGGCCTTACTTTTCTGAAATACATTTTGCCTCTGACAGGCCTATAGGCAGATGTAGCGCAGCGGTGTGGCAGTTCAATACCCCACCATGCCTACATGTTGTGGTGTCCTTGAGCAAGACACACAGTAGTTGTAGCTGTAGCTAGCTGTAGTTTTCAATGCAGCTTGGGCCACTTTAAACCAAAACATCACATTTTATCTGCTACAACAACCGCGTGAGGCAAATGTTTGTAAAATAGCYTTTGGATGAACTGTTATAAAACATTGGAGGCAGAGTTTGGTCTTCAAACTAGCTCATCAATTTGGTCAGAACTGAATGAAAAAGTCTATTTTTCTAAATTGATGCCGTTTTAAAGAAGCTATCTACAACAGATAAGATATTTTTTCTTCATAAACTTTTCACAGAACTCCACATTAAAAATGCTTTTATTGTTATGCTCTCTGTACTGTGTTTGTTTTGTGTTTTTATGGATGAATATCTAAAGGCYTTCACTTTATCCTATCTCATCAGTTTAAAATAAAGGTTAATTATATGCAAATTTTGCTGCCCCCAACTGACTGAAATTGCTTTCTTTTACGATTATTGGAATAGTTAAGGAAGAATCCATTAGGTTTGTTTTTATGGCACTAAATGTAAGACAACACCCCGGGAATAATTATTTTAGCACAAAGACTGAAACTCTAAGAATGTAGAATCTCTTTATCAGACCCTATTATCACCATCACGAGAGTGAAGGTTTTGTTCCTTATTTGTTTAAAAATATATCAAGCTGTTTGAAGCTTGGTGTCATGGTTGGCAGTACAATCCGGACCCGGGAAAGACCAACACGTGGATCAAATGAAGACTAAAAGATTTAATTATCACAAATAAAACATAAATAACAAAACAAAAAGCTGGTGCGGCAGTAAAAGAAAAGTCAAGGAGCCACAYTTTATTCTACTGACTGTATGCTTTGAAGTCCAATTTAGTGCAAAGACATGAGCTCTAGAGGCAAAAGTATTTCACAGTGTCAATGCGAGACTAATGTATTCAAAAGTGTATGCATGGTGCCAAGGACACAATTCTGCCAAAGTAAATAACTTTTTTTTAACACAAGCTTATTAGTTGTGATGACAATGCTGTTTGCATTGTGCATCTATAAAAAATGTAGAACAGCGTTACGCACAACGAGGCGTCAAACATCACAACTTTCAAAAAACACTGAGAAACATAAAAAAAAATCAAAGCCAATCAACATCCAAGCAGAAAGAACACAGAGAACATATGAGCCCGAGGCAGACGTATCCCTCACATCCATCACGGCGGTTAAAAGTTTCACTGCTGTGAAACGAAGAGGAAGACTCTCGACTCTTGATAAGAGAACCCAGTGATTAGATGGGATAAAAGTTCTGCAAGGTCTCTCAATCTGGACAAGTGTGCCTGAAGCCTCATTCGTCAGGGTGCTTGTGCTAGTGATTAATTAAGCCTACAGAGACGGTTCCCTTGCTGGTGAATCCCATCAGCAGCATTTAAGGCAGGCTGGCGTCATCTGAACACACTTCTTTTAGCGTACATACATAAAGCAGATGTTTGACAAACATAACCTTACAGCACCGGTTCTATTAAACCCCATGAACATGAAGTATGATGTGTTTTTCCATCAAAGCACTTGACTGAGTCAGTCTGCCAACTGACCTACATTAAACTGACTGTAGTCTGTGTAGGTACACAAAAATGCTAAAATCAGATGTTTTAGTGGAAACATGATCCATTACATCAAATCAGGGATTAATTTAGCACATTTCCATATTTCTGGCTTTTTTAAGCTACATTTTGATACATAGATCATCCTGATATTATGAGCAAATCCAGAGATCTGGCTTGAATTGTTTTGCTAATCAGGAAGACCCCTGGAAAATCAGTGTTAATCCTATATTTTTACAAATTCTAACCAGGTTT